CGTGAAGAAGAAGTCGATGATATCAACTTATAAAGAACGCGCCTTAATAAGGCTCAACTCATTTAGTATTACGCCTTGACCAAATTACTCTTAATCCAGGAATTCGGGGTGGGGGTGCGAAAGCTGGAGATTTCGAGGGCAACGAGATGCAAACCCCCATCTTGTTTGCCTCCGTTGACATCCTTGGTTGTAATCTAATTTGGTTCTTTGAAGTTTTTTTCCCTTACAAAAAATAAACTTCTAATTCGAGTTTTTTCTTCTCTCAAAGTTCTTAAATTTCCTTCTTCATTTTTTTTATCTTTTGTAGCATAGATGTATATGCTTCGTGGATATTGGAATTATGTAGTAGAGTCCACATATATACATGTAGTCAATCCCAAATATGGTTTCTACAGGTGATTATGGGGCATTATGTTGTCTAACCATCATCCTAATCGCCCTAAAAAATAATGTTTGTTTGTCTGTTTTCAACTAATCAACCACAATCGTCCTTGTTGTGCGTTTCTTTTTATCTCGATCAAACCTTCACAGTCGATCCCCTTTTTCAACCTTTTTTTCTAGGTATATGTTCATGGCGATAGATGATGTAATAAGGATGTCTCTCTCTTTGATGTGCAGTGTTTGTTTACTGTTTTACCTTCCAATGTGATCATGAGAATGGATTGAACTTGTTTGTACCATGTGAAACCTTCACCTACACAACAAACTATAGATTTTTTGCTAACCCAACACCAAATCGCCAAGGCATAAGCACTATGTTGGACATTCGAGTGCTTCTAATTGGTAACAAAAGTGAGATTAACATAAAAAAAAAGAGCCACAAGAATGACTGCATATTAAACCATTTTAAGAAAAAAAAAAGACATCATTTAGAGATGGAAAAGTTGCGATGAAGTTATTGGGCGTGTTTGGTAAGGAGCGTTTGTGAGCTTCTGGCTTCTAGCATTTTTGACAAAACGCTCATTGTTGAACAAAAAACATCGTTTGACACTAGGAATTTTTAGTGTTTAGTTTAAACAAAACGATCCAAATTCAAAAGTTATATTACGTAACGTTGAACAAAGCGGTACCAGCTACCAACTACTCGTTACCCGCTACCTACTACCAGCTAGTTTTGCCGAGTACGTCCATTATACACATGACTCTCCCCATCTTTCCTTGTTACTTGCTAACGTTGCTTCACATTTACAACTAATTAAAACTAATTTGTGTATTTGATCTTTAATGTTAACTGGTTGCACCATCTGGTCGCATTCTAAAACAGTGATGTTTTGTATAAATCTATAGTTACCTTAAATAGTTTTCAATTATAATACAAAGAGCAAATGGTTGACCAATTAAAACATAAATGACTAGAAAACGTGACATGCAACTGAAGGGTGAAGGGTGGAGATAAATCTTATTTTGAGAAAGTAACTCTAATTTGAATTTAAATCGGTTTCCTATTTGTTATCAACTATCTTTTCTATTGTGTTTTACTTGATGAAGGACTCTTTTGAGATTCTCGTATATAATATAACTAGGTTATAACCCCTGTACGACACGGTAACAATCTAAAACATGTTCGAAAGTTAATAAACATTATAATTAATAATACATTTGCAAATTTTGAGTGCAATTCATAGTTACACATTACACCAACATTTAAAACCTTATATAAATTAAAATTTCTACTCTTTATCAAACATATATTATTCTTTATTATTACATATAACATTTAAATTATAAGACCCGATGTAAAGAAACCCTTTTGACTTCCTAAAAAACCCACTTTTGAAATCTCCTCCAAAAAGTAAATTTCCATTCCTCAAAACCCATCATAGATAGTCAATTTTGTCATTTGCGTATATCTAGTGAGTTAGAAGATGAATAGAAAAAATTATCTATTTCAAATAAAAAAATATAAAAAAACGCAATAATATATTAATCAACAAAATCCATAAATTATTTTTAAGAAATCATAAACTAAAACCATTGATAATTACATGCCTGGACATTTTAAATGTAAATAAATTATGTTACACTTTAATTCTTTTTAAGTACTAAAAGTACATTCTTTGGTATTTTATATGATGCATCTATAAAAAAAACTATATACTTTTTGTGTATCAAAGGCTAATCAAAGAGATATTTAAAAATGTTTTATTGTTCTTTGTTATTAGTTGAATCAATCTTTAACAATATATGTTTCTGTTTTAAGTATAAACAATTTGAGTGGATGAATAAGTATAAACAATTTGAGTGGAGGTATTTGGCTGTTATTTTAATATGAACATATTATTAACAAATGTGTTTAAGTTTCAATTTTTCTTCATTTTTTATAAGTACTCATATTCCAAAAATTTAATCTGCTCACTGCATGTCTTTGTTAGATTTTAAGTTAAAGATCATCACCCATTATGTAAAATTTGCAGCATTATACCAAAATTATTAACTCCAACACCCAAATACATATCTTTACAGAATAACCAGATGAAGTTTTAGGTTCGCATCAAAATTTCAATAACTACCAAACAAATAAAAGAATAACATTTAGAGATATGCATCAAAATTTCGAAAAACCGATTCGATATGAAGGGAAGTTGCAACAACATCAACAATTATCACAAATAAAAATAAAACGACATTTCACAATTTGTCACCTTATTGCATTCAAAATATTTTCGATAACCATTGTATTAAATAATTAATAAATATTGAAAAAGAAGCCTACCATCTGCCACTACAAGTCCTCAAGGGTCTCAATAAGCAATAAAACAAAGACACCAAAAGTGTTTGCAAGAACATCTGCTATTGTAGCATGCTATTGTAGCAGCAACAATTATACAAAACAATTTTAATTTGAACTATATAAAAAGTTGATGCAAGAAATCCATCCTTTTTTTCTGCCTCAATCCTTGTAAAATCTACAAAATGGGTAAAAAGACCAAAATACCATTTTCTTTTCTTTTTAACCCACCATTTGCTCCTATCACTACTATTCCAGACTCGACTTTAATGTCATTTAGTTTTGAACCAAGTATTCCAATTCTTCATGCCCTCACAGTACCAAACATGTTATTAATACCCATTTTCCATAAAATACCAAAAGTACCCTTCCTTTTTAACCCTGTATTCTTCTAATATAATTAAAATTCGGACAATTCATGATTTTAAATGGCACCCTATACCAAAAATACCTTTTACTTTTATTACTTCTCCTAATAATCAATCTTTTCATTATTATTCATCCAAAACTCAAAATTAAAACTAACAACCTGTTCTTTAGGATTCTCTTTCCTTTCCTGCACATTTTATTAATCAAACACCATAACATCTTTCCTTTCATGCTCGTTTTCTTTGAGGAACTTTCTAAACGAAACCAGAAATCGTTAACAATAGGCTTACTTTAGTATCAGAGCACGAGTAGAAAGTTTATCCTGCTTAGGAAGAAAAGTTTGAAATCATGAAATAAACCCTAAAATCATGAAATTTTGAAGAAATAACTTATCTCAGCTTGTATCATAGAAAAATATCCCTTATTTTAGACAATTTTGCCCCTGATAATTCTGGAGTTTATTATTTGCATGTATAGTTAGTTTTCATGTTAGGTAGTAATGATAATCATTGACTTTGAAGCTCAAACACTTTCTAAAGACCGTAAAGGATGTATAACCTCAGTACCTAAGTTTAAGCTTAAATAATTGGATTTTTTAGACTACATTCGCTAACATTGGTAAGAATAACCAATAGTCAAGAAGTAAGAAAGATGAATGCATAATACTATTAAAAGATGCGGTCTTTACTAACGCGAGTATAATAGCCCCACCCCCAAACTTGTAACAGGTTAATCCACACTCTTATATGATGCAACCACCGAATGCAATATACATGAATGAGCAATACAAATTATACAAAAACTCATGTTTGGAGGCAATGATGGGCAAAAGAGAAAAAAAAACTTTTGTTAACAAATCGGGGTATAAGTCATGAAACATTTATACTCGTTACATTAGATAACACTAAAATGAATAAGATGTTACCCAAGAGGAGCAGAATCTAAATCAGCCAAAAAATCAGACTTCTTTGAATCATTGTGGTGACCTGGAACTGATTCTTCCACTAAAAGAGAGATCTTCGTATCTGCACTTGTTCTTTTATACGCCTACATTCGATATTATATCAAATTAAAATAGATTGAATAATCAATGCACATAAGAAGCCTGCGAAAACTTCAAATTCCATGTATTACAATCAAATCAAAATATGTAGCTAACAAATCGTTTAGCAAGAGCTTTGTTACTTACCTTCAAGTAAATTTATGATCAATCTAACAGTAACAAAATTGAAGGGGAACCTGTAGCGATGGGGAAACTGTGAGATTGACCTAATTATTGAAGATATTAAGCCAGGAAACACCTAGATTTAAGAAATAGTGAAGAAGAAATTGGAGTCGATTTTGGTGACTTACTGATGAACGGAAGGAGAAGCGATGGAGCATAGTAAAATTGCACATCTGTATTCCAAACTATTGTTGTTACTTGTGGTGCCAATTTATTCCAAAATCAAAAACAGAAAATAAAGCACCATCAAAATTTAGGTTAGGATGTGTGGAGAAGAACGTATTTTGAGTGGAAACAGAAGAGACGAAGTTCAATGACTGTTCTAAATTCGTTCCTGATTTTAAGTCATTAGATTCATGATTTATTGTGATATGATTAGATTGTTTCAAAATTTAGTTCTTGATTTTAAGGCATTCAAGGAAGAAATATTGTATAGGCGGGAAAGTTTTAATTTCTAGGTGTATAAAGCTGCCATGTGGCAGGAAGAAGCTCTATGTCATTTCAAAAGAGTCTTTTATTAGGATTGTAGATGTAGATGTAGATGACATTGGTTTAGTTTTCAAATGCATAACAATTATTTGGCTCCGATGGGCAACAAGTACAACCACCGTCAAATAAATAAACTTCTCAAGCTGACTGAGTCCAATGCAAACATTCTCGATGTTCTGAGTACAGCGTATGGAGGCGGAGTTACAAAAGTTTCGACAAAATCAAGATGAAGAAGGTGAGAGATTTAGTTGCAGTCAACATCACCGACGAGGTTACCACCAGCAACGACCACCACATTATCACATACAACCGCAACTAGATCTAGATCACCTAAATGAATGGAGTGACTCTGAGTTTGAAGTGATGGCTGAACCACCATCACAACACTACAAGCAACAACCACGGCAACTTGATCAACTGACTGACGCGGGTGAGACTTCTTCAAATGAGGAGTGCGAATGGGGTTTTTGCCTCGTAACGAGACAAAATCAACATCTTTCAGAGGCAGATCTATTAATACCTCTTTTTAAAAAGAATCTTAGTTTTGATGAATTTAGTGAGTGGGTAACGGAAGTCGAAAGGTTTTTTGAGTTTTATGAAATCCCGGAGGATGAACAAGTAGAATTCGTAGCCTACAGATTGGAAGAACAGGCTTTCTCATGGTGGGAACTAATCCAAAATCTAAACAGGCGATTCAATAAACAACCGATTAAGGAGTGGACAGAGATGAAGGAGATGTTGATGGCCCGATTCCTAGATATAAATTGTTTCGTAACAGAGGAATATCAGTCGTCTCATGCTGAATCATAATTAATTGTTCATCAAACGTTTGTTTTGATTGTTATTTTCTTCTTTAGTGAAAATTTGTTATTTATTGGTTTAGTTGCGATTTTGAATTTGATCAGGAAAAACTTATGACCATTAACGGATGATGGTTCTCTGCATCACCACCACAATACTACAAGCAACAACCACCGCCGTACCACCATCAACCTCCACCGCAACTAGATCAACTAAATGACGCAGGTGAGACTTCTTCAGATGAAGAGTGTGAATGGGGTTTTTGCCTTGTAACCAGACAAAATCAACATCTCTCAAAGGTAGATCTAATACCTCTTTTTAAAAAGAATCTTAGTTTTGATGAATTTAGTGAGTGGGTAACGGAAGTCGAAAGGTTTTTTGAGTTTTATGAAATCCCGGAGGATGAACAAGTAGAATTCGTAGCCTACAGATTGGAAGAACAGGCTTTCTCATGGTGGGAACTAATCCAAGATCTATGTAGGCAAACGGATACACCACCTATTAAAGAGTGGACACAGATGAATTGAAGGTGATGTTGATGCGTCGATTCCTTTCTCCGTAAGGAAGGAGTAGCATTTGTTTTGAGTCTGGAGTTCTAATTTTGTTCATCAAAACGTTTGTTTTGTCGATTATTTTAAGAAAGCTTAGTCAAAATTTGTTATTTATTTGATCAGGAAAAACTTATGACCATTAATTGATGACGATGAAATAAAAAACATGAATAGCACAACAGAATAAATAAATTATAGGCAATCGATAACATAATATTTTTTCCATATATAATTTGTGATAGCTGAATCGTAATCAACTAACGAACAATGACTACTAGTTTACTACTTGATTAAAGGAGAGAATATGAAAACCTACATATATAAAAACAGCAATAACTTGAAAGCAATAAACATTGACATAGCTAAAGCAAATCAAAGTAACAACAACAACAAAACAATTTTCCTTATGCTTAATCACACTCCTTTTCCTTCTTCTCCTCTTCACTCTTTGAATGATAACCAGGAAGCTTTTCTTTGATCATTTCAAGAATACCCTTTTTCTCCTTATGCTCTTTTTCAACATCAGCATAGTGGTCGGGATGTGCTGCCACCGCCACCACCACTGGCGGTGGTGGAGGAGCAGTGTGCTCTTCTTCCAACTTTTTTTGACCGCCGGGGAGTTTGTCCTTGATCATCTCAAGGAAACCCTTTTTCTCTTCAGGTTCACAGCTCGGCTCCGGTGGGTGGACAACAACTTCACAAGGTGGTGGTGCTTGATGATCCTCGTATTTCTCAACAGGAACACATGAGTCTTCCTTGCGTTCTTCTTCTTTCTTCTCTTTGTACTCCTCGATTTTCTCCCCTAATTTCTCTTTGATCTCTAGGACTTTCTCTTTGCCCTCTTCGATCTTCTCAATAGTTTTCTCTTTGAGCTCTTCGACTTTCTCTTTTCCTTCTTCGATCTTCACATTGATCTTCACTTTATCTTCTCCGATTTTCTTCTCCACCTTTTCCTTCAAGGTTTCATCTTTCTTCTTCTTCTTCTTCTTCATCTTCTTTTTCTCCCCATCTTTACACTCCTCATCACTCGACTATAAAATACGATAACAGAATAAAAATATAACACAAAGACGCACAAAAAATGTATTGTAATTGAGGATTGTGTGTTTAAAAGTGATTATCGAAGTTATAAATATGAGAATCAGACGATCACTTGGTTAAAACGAAAGCTTACACTGGAGCTGCTATCGGATATGTGGAGTTTGTCCATCAGGCTTTCGTTCTTCTCGTCTTTATTACACTTCTTGTTTTCATCTTTCTTTCCGAAACAGTCGACCACCCCATGGTCTTCAGTCTCAGAGGCATGATGGTGAACCACTTTGTCAGCCATGATCACAGCAAAAGCAAGAAAAAACAGACACAGTAACTACGTGAAAATGATGGGTTTCTATTGTATTTGGAGTAGCAAGTTTTGAGAATGTTTGAATGGTAAGTGTGTTTGAAAGGGGTACTTATGGAAGTTTATATAGGAGTTGAACATTGAGTAGATTTTATATATCAACAGTAATGATACTTGAACTATTTCACTATTTTCATGTCACTCCCTTAACTTCTAGTTTTATGATTTTAATTACCAAATAACTTTTTATCAATTTGGTTTTTGCTCTCTAACAAAAGGCAAGATAGCACAAAGATAAATACTAAATGGTCAAATTGCATGTAAAAATGTATTGTTAATTGATTTCATTTAAAAAATCATTTTCAAAATCGACATTTATTGGTCGATGCTATAATATAAGTTTATTTATTTCGAATGAAATAACTATAGCTTTGTTTGTAATGTTTAAAGATATAAAACCTCGGCCAACATAGGGAATAGTGATATAGCCCGTTTTCAAGCTTAGAGTTTATAAAACACATCAACATGTTTCAAGAGATCACATATTAAATACCACCTATTGTGTCATTTAATAAAAACCACAAACGTTGTCAATAATCATAGTAAAATTAATATTTCTGTTGTAGTAGGTATGAAATAAGACATTTTAAATAAAAATGTATTATGATTATCTTGATAACTATTATTTTTTCAATTTATAAATATATGATAATTATATTTCATTACTTCCAATATTAAAATCATTTTCTTTTCCTACACAATAATATTTTTAACAACAATTTGTACTGATTGTTATGATGACAAACTTTTAAAAATATGTTTGATTTTTATAACATTTTTAACACGTTAATTATCTTTTATCACAACAAGATCTGAAAACATAATTGATTTGAAAAAGACAACTTAACTTATTATGGTTTAAAAATTTTAATAAGTACAAAGAATTTCTTAATCATCTTTTGATTTTTTTTTTATAAGTTACATATTTAGTAAGCATACTAATCATATGCACAACACATGTCATTTGCATTTGAAACGAACTAATGAAGCACCATTGTAAACACAACGTTGTAACTGATGGACCAAAACTGTATAACTAAAAGCGGGGTCTCATAATCGTATGTTAGGAAGAAGTTCAGGGCCCATATAAGTAATCTTAGCAACTTCCTTAATCTCATTGTGACAAGTGTACACAAGATGGTTATTTGATGCTAAAAATTACAACTAAACATTAAAAGTAAAATGAATATTAAATTCAAATCAGATGTGCATCGTATGTGAAGTATAATCGAAATCCTGGATTCGCAACGTACACTCGTCCTTTTAAAAGAAACTTTAAATATATTTTCATGTTTCCTATGACTTTGTCTCTCTTATAGATTTTTTATATTTGAAATCCAATAACATTTAATAATGACACACATCTTATAATTGTGATATGCTTAAACAAGCAATAATATATAAAATGATATAAAAATACATTTAAATAATATGTTTTTTATAACTACTTAACGGTATATTTGGAAAAAAAAAAATTTAAGCTCCTAAAAAACTAGTTTAGGGTGTGTTTGGCTGCCAAAGCTAGCTGATAAGCTACTTATTTTTTCAGTTTTTTTAAGTTGTCATGTTTGGCAAACCAAAAAGTAGCTTATCAGCTAGCTTATAAGCTAGTTTTCTGAAAAACTACTTAGAGTAGCTTTTTTAAAATTTTTCCAAATATACCCCTTAATTAATTATAGAACACATTCTTTTAAATACCCTTTTATGTCATTTTATATATCTTTCAGCTAGTTTTACCAAACGTCATTTTATCAGCTAGCTTTTTATTTAACAACTAGTTTTTCAGCTATCAGCTAGTTTTTTAGCTAGTAGTCAAACATAGCCTTAATCGGCTAATTAGTAGCATTTGGATTATTCATATTTGGATGATACAGGGACCTGGATGATATAGAGGCTCTATATGAATCTGTATCTGAATGATAAATTGATATTTAGTCAGACATTTCAATGTCTGTCTCTTAATGGTGAAAATGACAATTTTAACCCTCTGAACTATATGTTATTGTTTGGTTGGACATCTAGACGACTGTGTTGAATGATACTGAATTGTTAAATAATTATAAATAAAATACCAATACCTCCTATTGCGGTAGGGAGCCATAAATCCACGAGTGTTGGTATATGCAACATCACAAAGGTAATATTTTTCTGTAAACATGAATTTTTCAATTGTTATATGAAAAATAGATGATGTATTTAATAACCAAAGTTAAAAAAAAAGATTACAAACCTGGTGGAGGGAATGGAAAGTCGGAAGTTGGGTTAAATACAACTTCTTTTAGAGCTAGTGAATCATGTGTTATGCCCTCCCAACCGGCCCATACAAACGTGAATATCATATCAAAATTACAAATTCCAATAACATTTTGACAACATTCACCTTTTCATATTCCCTTATAAAGAGTTTGTTGATCAACAGGCACAATTGCATGTACAAGAGTTCCATCTAACGCACCTATCGCTCCTGAAAATATTTCTTTTAACCTTTTGATATCGTCCTGATGTGTTTATTGTTGCATTAGAAGATATGCCAAATAGGGATGCCTTCAGTATCAATAGGGATGTCTAATAAGTCATTTGGTGTGTCGTATCTTTTGTATCCCTTGTAAGTAGGACGAATCTCTGTTTGAGAAATCAGAGAATAAAGAATACTCCCCTCCTGCCCGTGGACGTAGGTCACCTTGACCGAACCATGTAAATACTCTGTCTTTGTGTGTTTTTAGTTTCGTCTGTTATTCGCATTACTTTCTAACAAGGGTCATCAGAACTTGGCAAATGACATCATATTTGTTATGAGTCTTGACAAGTATCGTATGATTTTCCCCGACAAGTGGTATCAGATTTGCGATTGGTGTTATTTTGATTGAAGATGGCATCTCACAAATTCGATATGGAGAAGTTCAATGGTTCGTGTAGCACCTGGTTCCTGGTATGTATTTTATTTAAGTGATTTTGCATTTTTGGCCTGGGACTCGGCGAGTTGAAGGCCCAACTCGCCGAGTAGAAGCGGGATGAGACGCGGGATTTAAGTGATGGACTCGTCAAGTCGAGTCCCGGACTCGACGAGTAGGCTCTGTCTGGACAAAACCCTAATCTGAGGGTTTGCACCCTATTTAAACAACCTTATACAGCCTCCATCGCCCCTTTATGCTCCCAGAAACCCTCCATAGCAAACCCTAGCCGAGTGTGTGAAGATCTTAAGGCATTTGTGGTGATTTTGGTGGTTTTGTTCACAAGGAAGAAGGAAGAGCATAGAAGGATCAAGAGGAAACTGAAGGATTCGAGTTTGGTTCATCATTTGCAGTCTTTGAGAGGTATAAAGTCTGTAACTTGCTCTTTCATTTGATAGATCCCTTTTTGGGGAGATTTAGGGCTTTTATAAGCCATTTTTGGTAACCAACCATTATTGCAAACATGGTTGGGGGTTGAGGCTTTGGAATCAGGTCTTTAAAGGGGTCACAAGGCAGATTTGGGTTGCTTTTGCACCCAAGGAAGGCCTCATGCAGCACTAGAGCCATTTTAGAGCCTTTTTGGCTCAAAAGTCCTATGCATGCACGTAAAGTTCGTAACTTTACGTGCTAGATCAAGCTTAGGGGCTTGGATCTATCATTTGGTCAAGTGTTGTACATCAGAAATCGAGGATTTAGGGTGTGGATGTTATCGACTCGGCGAGTCCGTTCTTGGGACTCGACGAGTCCGAGGCTTTGAGTCCCATAGCTGTTGAGGGTCAAAAGGACTCAGTTGGGTTGTAGCAGGACAGAAAGAGTGACCCAACGCATTGGACTTAATTTTAGACCTGGAGTTCATGGGACTCGACGAGTGCTAGAACAGACTCGGCGAGTCCAAGGCAATCTCCTTATGTTTGAAGATGAACTCGACGAGTTGTTCATACAACTCAGCGAGTCGAGGTCAGGACTTGTTCATTCAGTTGAAGGTGAACTCGACGAGTGTTCATACGACTCGGCGAGTCGGATGAAGGTTCATTGATGTTCGTAAGGAAGGGGAACTCGTCGAGTCGTTGCCAAACTCGACGAGTCGAGTCGTGGATAAGGACGAGTAAAGGGAAGGGACTCGACGAGTTGACGGACCAACTCGGCGAGTCGGGTCAACTGGAAGTTGACTTTGACTTGGACTTGGTTAGGGGTAAAATGGACATTTTACCCTAAGAGTAGATATCAGTTTCTAACTGAGTGTTTTGTGGGGATTGTAGCCGGAGGATTTCCGGAGCAGCAGCGGACGGAGGTTTCCCGCACAGATTATCAGCAGCTTCTCGTACGAGGTGAGTTACCTTCCAGTAGGGGTGGGTCTAAGGCCACAATGCCGGCCCACCAAAGAGGAGTATTTAGAAGATGATTGTCTTTGTGATAATTATCTTGGTCTCGTTACATGCTTTGGTCATGAGATTATTTGTATGATATGTTACGTGTATGATAGGGATTGGTTTCCCTGATAGCGGTCCTTAGGACCGAAGGGTAGGTCAGTACCCGGATATGCCTGACTGTATGTTTATATCTTGTTGATTGTATGCTAGTGGTAGGGGGTGGAATAGTCCCCATTTACCGGTTGAAAGATACCGACGACAGTTACCGGTTGAAAGATACCGATGATGATTACCGGTTGAAAGATACCGATGATGATTACCGGTTGAAAGATACCGACGATGATTACCGAGATTGCACTGTGGGAAATGCGGTCGGTCACACGAGATTGCACTGCCCCTGCTCCTGCGATTCAGATATCAGACCTTATTTGCTTTCATTGCAATCAGAAGGGCCATAAAAAGGCCAATTGCCCAGATTGACAGCAGCAGCGACGCCGACAGTGGCGCCGACTCCAGCGACAGCACGGGTTGTGGATGGCCGGAAGGCCAAGTTGGAGGCTCCAGTGGTTCGGAGTCGAGCATTTCAGCTGACAGCCGAGGAGGCACGCACTGCACCCGATGTGGTGACGAGTATGATTTCTTATTTTCATGCTTTTATGTTATGTCGCTGTGATTTTGATATATTATGTGCCTTGCTTAGGATCGTTCCATGTG